AATATTTAGTATTAATTTATGACTTGTAGATCCAACTTAAAATTCCAAAGGTTTGTAAAAAAAATAAAGGTCTCGACTAACAAGTTTTACACTCATATTTGAAGAAAAAGTACTTTAGCGACTCTGACATAATTATCATGCTTTTCAAATTACTGTGATTAGCAGGTGATAGCCAATTATGCAAAAATCTGGAAAATTCCTTTAAATTTTTTGTTTTTTAAAAATTGTCACTTAAAAAGTCACAATTCCAAAAATTCCTTGCCGAATTCTAATTCTCTAGTATTATATATTGTTACACGTAGAATTTCGATTTGTCGGGAGTTTAATCAACCAGCAAAATCGATCTAACAAGACACTGGACCACCTTATTGAAAGAGATGTTTAGATTTGGCGAAGTAGACTGGTTCTAAGGCTTTGGCAATCCTTAGACAACTAATCACGTGACAAACGTTCGGTTTTAACGGTGCTCTAACTACTGGAACCAACTCACAAGGAAATATCCACAATACTTCTGGGTACGGTACTCAATACAATCAGCCTAAACCAAGGTGGTAAATGGCACTAAACTCAGATAACAATAAGGGTTGTCTGTATCGGGCAGACAATTGGAGTGATCTAACCTATTTTTAGATTAATAGAGATGGGTAATCTTTGGGCAATGTGATGGATACGGTTTATAACAAAACTAACAATTAAACAAGTATTTAATTTAGCAAGGATCAAGATGAAGGTAGTGTCACGAATAATTTGTATTTATAGAGGAAAAGACAAGCTAGAAGATGCTTGTTTAATCGTATAAAATGATAATTTTATTAGACAGCAGAAATGTACTGCTTATATACTTTCTTTACACTATGTTTCGTTTAAGACTTTTAAGTCTTATAATAATACAAATCCTTAAAATACATTAAATAAAGAAAAGACTTTTAAGTCTTAAAAGTATTATACTCCCAACTTTAAGACCTTTAAGACTTTTAAGACAAATCGCTCCTAAAAGTCTTAACCCAAATAAATCGATGATCACCATTAACCAAAAATGAACACTGTGACACTTACATAATACCAGCTGACCAAAATTTGAAATTTCCAAAGGCCCAACTTTTCCGGGTTACAATATAATATCTTGTAATTGTCTAGTTAAGAAACACTAATATTTTTAGCTAAACATTCTCTAACTTTAAGCGAATTTATTTTGATAATGTCTGCTCATTATCGAGATTTGAAGCTATTGTAATGAATTATTTTTAGTTTATTTTTTTTTATTTTTTTATTTTATTATTTTAGTTTTATTTAGTCTTATTTTTCTTTTGTATATAGTTTTACTTGTTACCAATTCCATTTTGATAGCAATACTCGCGTTGAGTAGTCATGATGGGAATATTTAATTAGTTTTTAGCTGCCTGATACGATAGTATTGGAGCAGCATTTTGTCTCGAATCGATCACGGGGTTTTGGTAATTGTTGAGTGATGCATTGTTTGATTTATCATGTAATTTTGATGCATTGTTTGATTGTTGTACGATTGCGTATGTGATTGTTATGTCGTAATGACATAGTTTTTGCCTTTAGTAGTTTTTAAGGGAATGAGTTTTTTCCCACGAAAGATAATTTTTGTTTTTTCTGCTAACCCGACTTTGTCTGGTTTTTTCGTACAAAATACATACATACAAAAATATATACATACACTTTGGTTTTCTCATGTTATACATACCTGTTTTGTCATTAAATACATACTTGTTTCGTGCAAACGTACATATATTTCGTTGATTACTTTTTAACCAATATATTTTAAAACTAGTTACCTTGTGCCCTAGTGGCTGAATAGAGTAATACAAATTTTTACCAATATGACAACTGCAAGTAATAGTAATAGTAAGGAGACAGAACCTACTGCTTTGATAAACACTTTGCCACAGCTCGAAATGACTTAGGCAAGCTTGGAAGCAAGCTTGGAGCATTTGTCAATGGAAGCACTAAGGTTTCTTTGCAAGAGTTTGGGCGTTTCTGAATCGGGTCAGAAAAGGGAAATAGTAGCTAGGTTAGTAAAGGATAGTAGGGCCTGGATAGGCTCGGAAATGCCTGTTTTCGAATCCAAAACCTCCGTAAGAGAGAAAAAGGTGCAATTTTCGGAAAATCAGTATGAGAGTTTTTCTGAGAAACCTGATACTTGCCAGTGGACTGGTGATAGGCCACAGCAAGTGAAAATGGGAGCAGAGAGTTTGTTTGATCCTTACGGTGGGCAAGTTCCTATGGATCACAGTCCTATATATAGTGGGGCCTGGGATATAAAAGCGTTGGGTTGGGGCACAGATCTGGGTTTTGTTCTCTTGGATAACTTGGAGCGTAGAAATATTTGGAAAAAATAGGAATTGTCCAAACAACGAAATTAGTGGGAATATAATGAGTGGTGTAAAGCGAGAGCTTTGATGGATAAGGCCTTGGCATTAGGAGACTTAAGTTATCTTTGTTTAGCAAGACAGGTAGCTTTAGAAAGAGCCTATGTAGTCAGGTGGCTGATGAATATGGATGGGAAGTGGCATCAAAGATGGCTGTGGCTGATAGCTTTGACCCAATGTCCGAATTGTTGGGAAATAAACAGGAAATAGCCAGAATAGTGGCACATCGTTTCCTCAAAGCAAAGAAAAAGCAAGAGCTTCGTATTCTCCTCGAGTTGATTAGCCTCAAATTCAGGCCTCAGCTCCTCAAGTGAACAACATTCAACTAGCACAGTTTGCTCAGGTGCAACCTTATATACAATACTCTGGTTTCCAGCAACCTTTTGGTTATTAGTTGGGACCGCAGAGTCAGTTCAGAGGAGTTATTACGGCTCCTCCACTACCTTTCCAACCCAATGCACAATTTGTGCAGTACGGAGAGCAATAGCCGCAACAATTTGGGCCAGGTTTTGGTTTGCCACCTCATTTACAACAGCCGTATTGTCCAGTATCTCAATGGCAAAAGAGATTAAACAAGAATAGGAGTTTTAAGGAAAAGAAGGTCATTTGTTACATTTGTGAAGGCAAAGGGCATTTTGCCAATGAATGTAGTTCTAAAAAGCATATTGGTTTGCCCTTTCGGGGTGATGGGTCCTAGCGAGGAGAGAGTTGACTACACTCAGGGGTTTTCAACGGAAATAGTAAATATGGAAGTCTGAGTTACGGAGAAAATTTACAGTTAGGCGGCAATAGAATATTGGGAAAGAGTAATAGGGCCGTCCTAGTTAGTAATGAGTTTGTTGAAACAAGGAATTTCTCTGTTTCCAAGAAGCTTGATACATCTTGCAAACAGCCTGGACCCAAAGGCTTATCAATTTACAAACGAGAAAGAAGTTTGGCTAAGCAATGAATTATTGAAGTTGACAGGAGCAGAAGCTATAGTGAAGGTTTCCGAAGGGAATATTTAGCCACTAGAGCTGCTAGAAGTAAGCCCAGTGTTCTTGGTTCCAAAACAAGGCCCCAAAAAGTTTTGGCTCTGAGGAGATTGAATTGAACTTTGCCACAGAAATCTTTCTGTTTCGAAGGCTTGGAAGGCCTGCTACGAACAATTGGCTGGAATTGGTGGTTAATTTCATTCGATCTCAAGAAGGGATATCATCATGTCTTAATGAATACCGATATCCAAAGGCTGTTGAGGTTTGTAGTAAAAAGAAGTTGGTACTAGTACAAGGTTTTGCCGTTTGGCCTAAGCCAGGCAACTTGGATTTTTTCGAAACTAATAAGGGCGGTAATTGGCAAATAGCGTGCTTAGGGAATTTACTGTAGAAGTCATTTAAACAACATATGGGTAGCACACCCGGAGATGGAAGTGTTAATGAAAATAAGGGAGGAAATTATAACAAAGGATCTAGATGGCTGCAGTTGGGTCTGAGCCAAGGAAAAAGGGAGCTAAAACCCGACTTAGATGCTAAAGTTCTGTGGAATGATTGTAGATATATTGAATGGATTAATAATTGTAGCAAAAAAAAAGATAAAGGCAACATTGTTAAAGTTGGAGGCTCTTTTGGAATTGCAGGTAGTAATAGCAAGGAATTTGGCTTCAGTGGTGGGAAAGGTAGTAAGCTTGTCAAAAGCTTTTCTTCCAGGCCAGGTGAAGTATATGGAGTTCTACAAGCTGATTGATGCGAAGAACCATCATGTTTGGGAATGGGACAACAAAGTAACTTTGTCACCTCAAGCTCTCGAAGATTTCTGGTGGCTAGTAAGGAATTTCAAGAAATGGAATGGCCGTCCAGCCTGGAAGCCCTCTTAGATGAGGCTAGTCTATATCGATGCCTCAATAACAGGTTGGTGTGGGGTGTTAGGGAAACACCAAGCAGTAGAAAGTTGGTCACAACCTCATACGTCGCAGGAGATAGCCCAGTTGGAGGCTTTAGCAGTGCTACGGACTTTACAGTTATTCAAAGGGCTTCTGAAAGATACTTGGGTTAACCTGTTTATCAACAACAAGGTCGCCCTAAAAACAGTAATAGAAGGGGCCTGATGGATTGGCAGAAGAACATTTTGAGGGAAATTTGGGAAGTCTGTATAGAAAGCGATATTGCAATCTACAATACAAGATAGGTTCTGAGCAAATTAAATTTAGCAGATCCTTTGATGAGAATAGCCGATTCAGGAAATTGGATATTAAGCCTGGAAGTGGTGATTTACCTAGAGTCAATGTGGAGAGCTTTCGAAGTGGACAGATTTGCAAGCTACTTGAATGCGAAAGCCAGGAGATTCAACAGTCTATATTTTTGCCCAGGCTCAGAAGCCGTAGATTGTTTTACTCAAAATTGAGCCAGAGTGAGGAATTATATATGCCCCATTCAACCAAATTCACAGAGTATTGTGCTATGCAAGGGAATGTCAAGCATGGATGGTTATTGTGGTTCTGGTTTGGGTTTCAGCCCCGTGATGGCCGTTAATAGTAAATTCTCCCAAAAAGAAAATTGATTTGCTACCAACGGACCAAATTATTCAACCAGGACCTTCTGGGAACCTGGAGCCTTGCAAAAATGCTCAATGGCGTCTGAAGGCAGTGTTGCTGGACTAGTTAAAGGGCTGCTTGGAAGATCTGAGTTTTTAATGGACAGTTCTATAAGCAAAGCCTACAAAAAGCATTTGTCAAAGGCCCATGCTATGTTTGAGGCTATAGGCTGTATCCGGCCTTTAGGAAACTTCTAGCAGCATTTCTTGCCTGGTTAGAGACAACAGGGAGAGTATCGAATTTAACGATTTGTCTAGCAGTAGTGGCAAGAGAACATAAAAGAAGGGATCTTGGAGACCCGACGAAGGGAAATTCGATTCATTTCTTAGTTGAGGGTATCAAAAGAGTTGCTTCATGTAAGAAAGTTGAAGTGAAATGGCCAAGGGATCTCTTGCCAGTGGCAGTAGTTGGATGATACTTTGACTGTCTACCTCCGGGAGTTAGTATCGAATTTTGGGCTCGTAATATAGCCTTGATAGCATTGGGTCTTAGAGTAATGCGTAAGCCGGGTGAATTGTGTAATTTGAGGAGGTCAGATATTTTAGAAAAGGATGGAAAGTTGTGGATTAGGATTTCTAGATCCAAAACAGATCAGTTAGGCAAAGGCAAGTTTGTTTTGATTGAGAGAACTACAGGTAGGTTCTGCCCTGTAAAGTTGCTGTATTTATATCTAAAGATGAAACCTAGTACTTCTTGGGAAGAGCCATTGTTTCTGTCTAGAACTAGTGGGAAATTGTCTGTGGCGGCTGTTTCTGCAATAGTGAAGCATTTTGCAGAAAATGTGGGACTGCGTGGGAAGTTCACAGCGCACAGTTTGAGAATTGGGGGTGCAACTGTGGCCATGAAAGAGGGTTTGACAATGGAACAAATCCAGTCAATCAGTGGGTGGTTGTCAGGGGCAGTGCAGCTCTACATGAGAGCAATAGGTACTGCAGAAATGAAAGCCTCAATACTAATGGGCTTTGATCAGTGAAAGGATAGAATTCTAGGCTTTGTAACCAATTTCCCCTTGCAACGATTCTCTGCAAAGACCCATAATTGATTTTCTTCGTTGGTTTTTTTATTTGTAACCCCCAATAAAAGACAAATTTAGCTGCCCGATACGATAGTATCGGAGCAGCATTTTGTCTCGAATCAATCACAGATTTTTGGTAATTTTTGAGTGATGCATTGTTTGATTTATTGTGTGATTTTAATGAATTATTTGATTGTTGTACGATTGTGTATGTGATTGTTATGTCGTAATGACGTAGTTTTTGCCTTTAGTAGTTTTTAAGGGAACAGGTTTTTCTCACAAAAGGTAATTTCTGTTTTTTCTGCTAACCTGACTTTGTCTGGTTTTTTCGTTCCGCCCTTATGGGATTATGGAAGCAATAATGGTGACTGGCAAGACAATAGTCGGAGGTTTTTTGTTTTGGGTAAGATTTGGGCCTGTTGAGACGACAGCCATAAATGAGTTTTATAGTCAATGGCCTGTCGAGACGGCAGTCATTAAGGTTTTTTGTGTGCTTTACTTTGAGGTAATTGGCACCAGTTTTTTACTTGGTAGCGGCAGAGTTTTTTCCAGAAATTCTGGTTTTTTTCGCCCTGCCCTCCAAGAATTGTTTTTTTAGTTATGTCTTAGCAATGTTAGCAATAGTAGCATAAGTTGCTTTTTCGATACTTTTCGAATTCTATACTGTTGTAGCTATAGCACGAATGCGGAAGGAACAGATAACCCATAATTGATTTTCTTTGTTGGTTTTTTTATTTGTAACCCCGATGAGAGACAAAATATTGAATAGGTAATTGATTGTGGCTTGGTGGCTTATCTCATACAAACGTGTGAACGCTCAAAATAGCGTGTATACGCACTTACACAAACATGTCAATCCTGCACCAAGAGCGTACCGTATAGCCGCGAAATAACGCTCGTGGGCGTTATTTCGAAAATCAAAACCTCTAAATAGCATATATGGTCTCGAATTAATGCCATGGGCGTTCCAAATTAATGCGCATCTCAATATGGCCTACATTAAAAGTAAAGAAAACAAAAAGTGCTCCGGAACTAGATTCGTACTAAGTAAGCCTACTTCCGAGCCTAACAAAAATTGTTCCTTACATTGAAGCAAGTAGGTTTACTTAGTACTACCTAGTTCCGGTGCAGTGTTTTTTAATCTTATTATGATTAAGGGGTACGATTCAAAAAGCCAACTTTTAATTCGAAATAACACACATGGGTGTGCTCGAAATAACGCGCAGGTCAATTAATTAACGCGGATGTTATTTCGCGGCTATACAGTAATAGCTCAGATTAGGACATGTTCGTTTAGAAAAGAATGTATACGTTTAAAATAGAATGAATTCGTTTTTAATAGAGCGTAAACGCTTTAAGAAAATTTCATATATATAAGCTCTTTAGTTTTAATAAAATTGGATAAGTTCCACATTCGCTTTTAATGACCAAAAAATAATAAAGTATACTTATCTTCTGTAAATTTCGACTTGTAACTTTAATAAAACCTTTCATAACCCAATTCGACGGACTGAATTGACTTGAACCTCGAATAGGATTAGTAAGACTCGGAATTTTGTGAAACGACCTTTTATATTCTCTCGGAACTTGATCACGTGACTTTCGTTCGGAAATTCTTCGTCCTAAAGAAAAGTATTATCTAGAAACGCGTAAAGCAACAACCCCACCTTCTTTGCCATCACCAACATCAGTGATTTTAAAATAATAAAGTTAAAATTGTTAAAATTAGCTTATCGCTTTAAGTATCAGTATTCGTTGATATCATCTTTCAATCACTATAACATATCACTTTAGATATCAGACTTCGTTGATATCTTCTTTCGATCCAAATTAATATTATAATTATTCTTAAGACCGATTCCTTTCAAGTCTTATATTTAATTCAAAACACTTCTCATTAAACATCATTATAAATCAACCATCAACTCTCTTAATACCATCTTTTAAACATCAATTCTCCCGGTTATCATCATTTGAATCATATTAAGTTTACCTTCGTTCCAAAGATTGATTAATTTTAGGACAGATTTATACCTTCCTTCGCTTATATAAACCCCAATCCCGTACTCGGTTGGAGTTCAAATTGGCACTATTTGTCTATGATTGTTCTCCGCTCTCCCATTTCAACCGTTACACTATTTTCAAATTCTACTGGCCAGTAGAATTTAAAAATGGTCTTAGGCATTGAAATCGACCGGGCCATTATAGAGAAATCTTCAATCAATTTTTTTAAAAAATATTCAATACTAGAATTTTTACAAATTCATACAATACAATTACGTAATATAATCGCAGGTTTGCATTTAATAGATTTCCGATTCTCAAATTTCCGGTGATGTGTATTGCATGATCACAGTAATTTGAAAAGCACGATAATACCGCACAAAAAATACATGGGCAGTTGGCAGAGAAGCTATCATTAACTAAAAAATTTTTTCTCACAGAGTTTATTATTTCAGTATTTCCCCAAAATTAAAGAATCATGATAAAGTGTCGTGGTCTGACGTAACAACCAGTGCGACACTTTTGTCAATAAAGTTTTATTATATTGATATGAAAAATTAGTTTTCTTGCAAATATCAAACAATTTAATCAATGAAGTCAAACAAAGACCTAAAAATATCAAGATCTCATCCAACAAGAATTTTAAAAAAACAAAAAACTAAACCTACGCAAAACCCTAATAACGTATAACATATAACCTTTCCAAAAAGTTTTGAAGAAAGAGAAAATTTAATAATGTCGTGACCTCGCTAAATATTTTTTAACAAAATAGCATACGATACTTTTTAATAGAAATATAAAGAAAGCAAAGACTTAATAATATACGACCCTGCCTAATGAGAAAGCAAAGCTCTAATAATGATAAATAAATATATATATATATATATAACGATAATAAATAATGATAAGAAAATAAGTTCTATGCACTAGAATCAAACTCAATTACCGCCACAACCAGAAAAGATATCCATAGCACGAAGTTTTTGATTGTTCGTCTTTATGTAATCATAAAATTCAATCGATAA